GACCTTCCTGAGCCAGTCTCCCCTCCTCTGCCTCACAGGGCTATTCTGAGCATCTAGTAAGACACAGCTGAGAAACAGGAGCAAACCTTGAACCCCATAAGCACATCATTCTGAGTAGATTCGGAGCCCCGTGTCCCCTCTAGTGCTCTCCGTCCCTCACCAGGCCCTTCACGCTTTGCAGGTGGTGCACCCCGGAGACCTGAAGAACTCTGTTGACATCGCCCTGAACAAGTTGCTGGACCCCATCCGGGAGAAGTTCAATACCCCTGCATTGAAGAAACTAGCCAGCGCTGCCTACCCTGACCCCTCGAAGCAGAGTAAGCAGGCTTGGGAAGGGGAGGCCAGTAGGGGGCGGGGTGGTGGGGGCAGAATCAGGAGAAAGAGCCTCTGCTGAGCCTCAGAAACAGGTCTGAGGATCCAAGAACCAGGCGGTCTGGAGTGTGAATGTCATCCCCCAGTTCCTCTTGCATCGGGTCATCTGGCTTTTGATCTGGTTGAATTGCGACTTCCTCTACACACCAACATTGTTAAGAGAAACATGCATCCTGACCCTCAAGTCTGTTCACTAATTGTACCTCTCAGCCAAGGAGACTGATGTAGTCAGAGCACGAGGGGGCCGCACTGCCTCCGTAGCCCCTTGGGAAGGTCATGTTCAGATTTGCCCAGCCCCTTCCATGTATTTCCGACTGGCCCTGAGTTGGCCACCAACTTATGCTTGATGCGAGACATTAACAGAGAGCCTGTGTATAAGCCTCCCAGAAAAATGCCAGCAATAGATGGGTATGGAGCAGGAACGAAAACACCCAAAGGCGCAAAGCTACCACTGTTGTCCCCTAGCTCCCCTGGACCCTACCGCCCGAAGGAGAGCCCAGATGAAAATCTGGCCTGTCACTACTCAAAGGCTGCTGACCCTGTTTTAAAAAAAAGATGTAACACTTTGGAGTAGATTGGGGACTCTGCATGAAATCCTGCTAATCTCAGTGTCCTCGTTTGGGAGAATCAGCAACCGACCTGTCTTGGGGAAGGAAGGGAGTTCTGACCCCGGGGATTCTTTTCATTCCCAGAGCCAGCTGCTAAAGGCCCTGCCAAGAATTCAGAACCCGAGGAAGTCATCCCGTCCCGGCTGGATATCCGCGTGGGGAAAATCATTAGCGTGGAAAAGGTACTCACCACAGCCCAGACAGGCAGACAGGGGTCAGGTGTGTTCGTTTCCATCTGGAGGAAACCTGGCCTGTGAGGGAAGTGACACCCCTGAGGTCAAGTTGCAGGTCAGAACCCAGCAAAGGATCCTGGGCTCCCGGCCTTTCCCTTTGCTGCCCTGAACCCTAATGCAGCCAAAACGACCCGGAAGGCAGGATGGGGCCTGTGTTAGTCAGAGGGAATGCACTGATCCATTAAATCCAGTCTGATGGACTCGCCTGGTTCCCCCCAACTTGTCTGGTCCAGCTGTGGGCCTTATCTTAAATCAGTCACTAATTCCCCATTCCCGCAGAAAAAGATGAAGGAATAGAACTTCCTTTCCCCAGAGGCTGAAAGTTATGCTACCAGTGACCTTGGGACCATGGCTCTGGGCTGCTTTCCCTCCCAGTCTTGATTGCTTTTCAGTGTACATCCCCAGCCACCAAAAGCTCCCTGGAAATGGCTGCCAGTGCACTCATTTCAGTTTGCAGCAAGGCCACGCACGCCCCCCACTGCCCACCACCATTGTGCAGAGTGCCGAGGTCTGAATCTGTGTGGCATGTGGTCCTAATGGTGGCCATCCAGGGCCCTACAGTCCAGGCTGCTTGACCTGTTAGGTTCCTTCCATCTCTTACCAAGCCATTATGCTTGTTTTACTCAAATCCTGTCTCTTGGTTGAGAACAGAGTGTACCCTCAAGGCCTAGTCTCCTCCTCGTCTGGGACCCAGGGAGAGTTAGCTCTAGGGCTTTTGGGGGCCTCTGTAGGGAGGGAAGCCCCTTTCCAGTATGATATTCTCGACTGACATTTCTTGCCGGCAGCACCCAGATGCAGACAGTCTGTATGTGGAGAAGATTGACGTGGGGGAAGCTGAGCCACGGACTGTGGTGAGCGGCCTGGTGCAGTTTGTCCCTGAGGAGGAACTGCAGGGCAGGCTGGTGGTGGTGCTGTGCAACCTGAAGCCCCAGAAGATGAGAGGCATCGAGTCTCAAGGCATGCTTCTGTGCGCCTCTGTGTGAGTGAGCGTCGGGGAGCACTGGGGAGGCCCCCACCGCATGGAAACCGGACTGTCCAAAACATGATGTACGAGGCATCTATGGTACAAGTGAAGCACCTTGCCTCCAGCGAATTTTATTAAAACAAATTGAAGGTGCAAAGCAATTGTTACATGCCCAAGTCTCAGTGGTAGTGAGGCGCAGAGCCAGGATTGACATCGCTCTGGCCGGCTATGAAGGCCTTGCTCTCTCTGTTGCATCCTTCTGCCTCACCTGAAAGTCCAGATTCGGTATCTCCCGACGTGCGAACTCAGGTTTGCGCTCGTTAACTCAGTCCTGGCGGCATCGGAGCTGTAGTGCTGCAGTAAGGACAGATCCTTCTGGGGCTCTGGCATTGAGGGTACCTTAAATTCCATCCAGACCCCTACATAAAGGTGTGATTGCTTTAGTCTCCACAGCAGCCAGAGACAGTTCACAGCTTCCCCCTTTATCTCTTGTGCAGAGAAGGGGCAAGCCGCAAGGTCGAGCCACTGGACCCTCCTGCAGGCTCTGCTGCTGGTGAGCGGGTGTTTGTGAAGGGCTACGAGAAGGGCCAGCCCGACGAAGAACTCAAGCCCAAGAAGAAAGTCTTCGAGAAGTTGCAGGTAAAAAGCTGATTGTCCCCCACTTACCTATGCTATCTGGGCTGTGTTCCAAGTGCTCTGCTACTAAATTCTTTTCCCAGGTGGGCCTTCCTGCACCCCAGCCCCTCTCTTCCTTCACTCCAAGCCTTTCTGAATGAGGTAGCTGAGGAGGGTGGGGGCCCTCACATGGACTGAGCACTCACAGTAGAGTGGAGACACTGCCCCAGGCCCTTCAGATATTTCCGCTTTCAATCTTCTGTATGTGACAAGAGATAATCGGATGTACCTGCCCAGGCTCAGAGGGCCACCAGATGGGATGGAGCCAAGATCAAAACCCCGAGGGTCCTCCCTGCCCACCTCAACCGTAGCGCACTCTGGGCATTGACTCCTTCACCAGTGCAGCGGCCTCTGTGGTCCCCGAGCTCCTGCAGTCACCCACTCAGCCCACACTGAGCGCCCTCTCTCTCAGCACTGTCCTCGGTCTTGGGCTACCTCAGTCAAATAGCAGAAATGCCCTGTTCTGGTGGAACTAACCCCACGTGTGAGATTTTCCTAGTCAGTGCTTTATTTCCTCAGTGTTTCTGAAGAGATGCAGAGGGCCCCTTCCTCCTGCACATGGCTCCTGGCTCTCCAGGCTAGCTTTTCATTTTCTTTTTGGCTACAAAATAGTTTTTTTCATAGAAATTTATAAAATAAATGAAGAAAATAATCCATAGTCTTGTGCCTTTAAATACTAAAAAATAACCTTGGTGATTGTCTCCTCTGGACTTTAATTTTACACTGACAGATTTCCATCTTCTTAAATATTGAGCAGACATCAGAATTACCATCATTTAACCAAAACCTTACGAGACATTAGGTGATTCTCAGTATTTCACTATTAGAATGCCACGGTGCTCAGTTCTTTATACTCCTTGATGATTTTCTTAAACTAAATTCCTAAGTGAACTTAACCTGAGTCAAAAGATAGGACCGTGTAAGCTCTGGACAAACTGCTCTTGGAAAACTCGACTCCACTTACACGAGTCCTACTACCAAAGCTTGTGTTTTCTAATCACTTTTGTTTTGTTTTTTCAACCCTCTCCAGGCCGACTTTAAAATTTCTGAGGAGTGCATCGCCCAGTGGAAACAAACCAACTTCATGACCAAGCTGGGGCACATCTCCTGTAAATCACTGAAAGGGGGCAACATTAGCTAACCAAATGGCAGCTTCCTCCCTCTCCCATCATCCTGCGTTGTCTGCTGTGTCCTCAGTTTGCTCCATCCATCACCCTTGACCCATCTCCCAGGACACTGAAGCAGAATTCTGGGATTCTGTTGGGTGCAGAACTCAGTAAGGGGCAGCTCAGCCTCCCGAGTCCAGAACCGGCCCGCCTGGCTGCAGGAGAGGCTGACCTTCCGGGTAGTGACGAGGGCGGCACAGCAACAGGGAGTCCAGCTCTGCCTTCCTCCCCTGGCAGCTGACCTGAGAAATCTGGTTTCGATGTAATTCTTAGAAAAAGTTTATACCACAGTCCTTCTAATTGGAAAAATGCTGGTTCCCAAGTTATCCTACCATTACCCCTGCGGCTGTGCCTCTGGTGCCCCTGCTCAGCCAATTACAGCTTCTCCCCAACAGGAAACTGTGGGGTTTGGAAAGGAAAGGAAGACAGAGCCCAGTGGTCTACCAAGTGCTTGGCAGCTTCCCCCGGTGCCTGCCAACCCTGAGGTTTGGCGCTGGGGGGCAGGGCTTGCCCCTCGAGACTCCTGTAACCTGCCTTGGTCCTGCCAGGCAAAAGCAGCTGTGTGCTGTTAACCTCAGAAGTGGGGTGGGGGCACAGCCTGGCTCTCTTCAGTGGGTGGGTCCTTCTCCATAAGGCATTTCAGTCAAGTCACTGCTCATTTCTGTCACTGTCAGGAATTCAAATAAAAGCTCCGAACAAGATTGTCTGAATGGGCCTCTCTGTGAGCTGGACAATTTCAGGAGAGGAACACAAATGTGAGGCAGCCAAGGGGCCCCTCCCCCAGCCAGCAGCTCTTTTTTATGTTGGACTTTGATGCTCTAAAGGGGGGGAAGAGGGATGGCACCCTGACTTTCCCTTTGCGCTACTGAGTTGGTGAGACTACTCTCAGGTCCTGTCTTGGCAGGAAGCAGAACCTTCCCCTTCTAAATATGGGCCCAGACTATGGCCCTGTCCCTCCCCACTAAGAAGCAGCAGCCACAACCAAGATTTAATTGTTTAATTACTGTCTGAACGAAACACAGCTCTCCCATGTGTCTCACTCAGGCTTCAGGACAGAGGGGATGGGTTGTTTGGATAGACATATCAAAGACTCAAAAATTTAAAGAAATATATATATGTGTGTGTATATATATGTGTATATATATATACTCTAACATTTTAATGGAAATTAAAAATCAGGCTTTTGGTCTACATTTGCACCAAGTTAAGCTCATTTACCCCAAAGAACAGAGTTGCCTCTTCTAGATCCTCCCTTCTCTGTACAGTCTCATCCAGGGGCAGCCACCCCAAAGGGTTCTAAAAAGGAGCCACAGTGACGAGTGGAAAGAGACACCACAGTTGGGGGGCCCCCCTCCAAGGTGGTGACCAAAGCCTGCTTTCCTAGAGCTTTGCCCTGCTGGGGGCACAGGGTGAGGTGGGCAATCAAGCGCTGAGCGGCAGTGAGGCAGCACTTACTGCCGCCCACCAGCCCCCGGCAGGTGCTGCACAAGCCCAGCAGCGGCCGTCACCCACCCAACAGGTTTCTTGCTGGGAAGAGGAGGGCAGCAAGAGAGGGCCGAGGCACCTGGGCTTGCACCACATCCCCGACATTCCCAGGTCTCATTCTGGGGGGGGGGGTCATCTCCATCCTTGGCAGAAGAGAAACACTAAAGGCGAGGTTCCTTGCCAAGCTCAAACCCAAGTCACCGTTCAGAGGAATCAAGACAGAAGGGGTGGCCCTGCTGGCAGCCACCCTGCAGAGTCACAAGGACCCACGGGGAAGCCAACTTACCTAGCGAGGTGGTACCAGCTGAACATAAGCCTTTAAAATTCCTGGAGAATAGCAGTTTAGGGACTGATGTCTAGGGAGCAACCACCAGGAGTGCCCCCTGGGAGCACTGAGTGTCCCCTTCATTGACTAGGAGTCTAGGAACAGATGCACCTTTGGGTTCCCATCTTGTTATGGAGCATCCATCAGCTCCCCCAGGAGAGCCACCTGTGCTGACAGGCAGCTGCAGAAAGGACATGCACCAGAATGAGTCAAGAGGAAGGTCAGGATGAAATCCAGAGGGCCAGTTCAGAGCCCACGGTCCAAGTAAGCCCTCCCTGCAGCCAGCCCCTCCACCCACCTCCTCGGTATTTCTGGCAGCGCTGGAAGGATGCAGCTTTGCCACAGCCTATGGGCTCGTGCCTCTGAAGAACTGCGCCCACCCCAACCTGATCAAGTGAAACGAGGGGCAGATGCTTGGTATTGCCAACGGCCTACTGAATTGACTCCCTACTGACGTTAGAGGGAACCCATGGACCACCCCCGTGGTTTTCTCCCCCACCTTTCTGGGCCTTGGCAGTCTCCAAATTCTTGTCCCCAGCATGGAGCACCTGGCAGAACTGGAAGGCAGGAGGGTGGTTGGTGGTTAAACTGAGGCACAGGAAGACTAATCTCCACTGCACCCATTGTGCTTTGGAAATCCACACACCCGCTCCTGTCTCCAGCCTGGAGAAGCCTGTGGGAATACAGTGACTTGCCCGCCTCCAAGAACTAAGGAAAGGAATAAACTGGATTAGAGGAAGGGACTGATGGGTCCCAGCTATGAGATGGCTCCCAGGGATGGGTGCTGCTGCCATGTAAACAGGCCCTTGGAATGCGGTTTCATGGGCCCTGGAGGATGGACACGCAGCCACTTTCCAAAGTGCTTTGATTCTGGACTAGACAGTATGTGCATGATTGAATATGGGGGGGGGGGGGAAGTGTTCCACCAGCTCTGTGGCCGCAGGGCCAGCAGGGGGCGCAGCCGCCACTTCTACCAGCTACCTCCTTCAACATGAGGCTAAGGCCACAGCCATGGGTGAAGGGGTGGATGATTCCAGAAGGCATGAGAGCAGGATGACTTGGAGGACAGGGTCAACATCAGGCTTGCATAAATATCAAAGGCAGAGGAGGTTAAGGCTGCAGGCATCCTCCCTCTCAGGTTGTGTCTGCCGTATCCTCTCATCCTTGGAGCTGCTCAGGTCCCTGAGATTGTATTCCTGGGATGGGTCCGCGGTGCCGGTGGGTGCCTGGCGGTCAGGACAGCTCTTTCTGTGGGTCTGTGGGAATAAGAAGGACCACTTAGCAAGAGTCCTCCCGGCTTTGTCCTGACAGCACTAAGACCCCCAAGGCCCACCTGACCCACACTTTGCCTCCCCGCTTACTCCTGTGAAGGCAGCACAGGTTCGGATGCTTTGCAAACCCTGACACTGCTGGTACCACCCCCCACCACTCACAATGAGTAACTTGAGGCTGGAATGTGTCGATAAACCAGTCCCGTGGGAGCTCATTCACTGTAGCGCATCAGGGGTGACAGTTCACCCTACCCAGCCATCCTGAGGTCAGAAAGGACCCAAGGACCCAAGAGCAAAGCCCTGCTGTGGGATACCCATTTCCCAAGGTCAGTGACGGAACCCCCGGCCCACTCTACCTGAGCTGGGCAGGCCCATCTTCTGCTCCGCTGGGCTCACAGACTGGACACCTCCATTCTCTGCGAGCTCCCCCTTAGTCCTGTCCTCAACATGAGGGAGCCCATTGGTGGGAGGAGTAGTAAGGGGCTCAGCCCGAGGAAAGCTGGGGGAATTGGGTGAGGGGGCTCCCACAGGCTTGCGGGCCACAGGTGGAGGAGCTTTAGGCGACTTCTTGGTGGTCTGGGGTGACCGCTGTTCCGAGATATTCCGAAGTTCAGTCACCAGACTCCGCTGGAGGTCAGCCGGGTTCTCTGGGGACACAGGCCGCTCCAACTGCATTTTCTTAGTGCCCTTGGAGAAGATAAAGCTGGCCGCAGAGGCAGGGGGCTGGGGAGTCTGTGGCTCTGCCTCAGGTGGTCCATTGGGCTGGGCACTTGCGGGGCCCTTGCTGGCACCTAGGCTGGAGGCCTTGAGTTGGACAGCAGCATGGAGCCCTGAGGACGGGGCAGTCACTGGGCTGGACCGCCCCGAGAGGGCCCTTCGTAGTGGCTTCTGGGGGGCCGCTGGCCCTGATGCAGGGGCTCCCGCAGGAGCACCCACAGAGCGAAGGCGTACCATCTGCAGGAGTGAGGGCGTGACCAGGGGCGTACCACCGTCCTCCCTGGGAGCCCCACTGCCTTTGCTGCAGCCCACTGGCTCCTTCTGAGGAGGTTTGGTCACCAGCCCCTTGACAGAACCAGCAGGAGGTGGGGTTGGTGGAGCTGGAGGGGGGTCTGGGACACAGTGGGGCTGGATCTGGGAAGAGATGGTAGCAGAGGAAGGTGAAGCAGCTGAGGAGCTGACCGGCTCCGGGAAGCCTGAGGGGTCTGCAGGCTCAGAGCCAGCCACAGAGAAGAAGGTCTCCTCTGGTGGGGGGAAGTCAGCCATGGACAGGTCCTGCTCCTCGGCTGCAGGAGGAGGGGGTGGGGGCCAGCTGGGGTCTGGGAGGGGCTCCTCAGCAGTCTCTGGGGCAGACGGGGCCTCCTCAGGCTTCTTAATAGGTGGTGGGGGTGGATGATAAGAGGGAGGTGGGGATGGTGGGGGTGACTGGTCTTTGGAGGTAATCGGGGACCCCTGAGGTGGGGCCAGGGATGTCTGGGGAGTCGGTGGGGAAGGAGACTCAGGACCAGCAGCAGCAGCAGCGGCAGGCCCAGGGATCATAGCAGAGGCAGCCGGAGCAGGAGCGGCCTGGTTAGGGCTCTTGGCCTTAGAGGGAGGTGGGGAGAAGGGGGCAGGCACCTTGGGGTGAGGGGGGATGACAAACCTGTCACCCAGGGTGGTGTGTGGACCAGAGCGGTCTAAAGGGGCTGGGTCAGAGGAAGAGGAACATAGAGACGTGAGGGAAGAGGAGACAGAAGCCCCAGGAGATCGAAGGGAAGTGATACGCTCTGGTTTAGGGGGCTGGGCCCTGCCTGGGGACGCAGGGGGCCCAGCCAGACCCTTGGGAGGAAGGGTAGGGGTACCACTCTGGCTCGAGTAGCCACTGGAGGGCGACAGCGTCCGTTCTGGGGAGCGTGGGGGGCGCCGGGAGCCTCCTGGAGAGGAGCCAGACACCCAGCTGCCTGCTGAGCTGGCTGAGCAGGGTGCTGCCCCCATCCCTTCTGGCCCACCGGTGGTGGGTGGCCGGGGCAGCTGCGGCTGCTGCTTTCGCTCGGGCTTAGGAGGCAACCCCAAGGGCCCATCGGGGGCCGCCGCGCCCCGCTGATGGAGTGAGTAGGTCCGGCGGGGCGGTGGTGGGGCCCTCTTCAGCTTACGCAGGGACACGCTGCGGCCAGACAACTGCCCGGTGCTCCGAATGCTGACAGTGTCTGAGGCCTCAGCGGTGCTGCCCCCACTGGGAGAGCCCCGCCCGCTGCCCCCCTGGGGCGGAGGCGCCACGCTGTTGCTAGCCACAGAGCCCTCCGGCTGGCCCTCAGAGCCGCCCTGGGAGGAGAGAGTGGAGCCGTCGGACACGATGGTCTCAGAGGACTGAGAGTGGCTCCAGGTGTCGCTGGAGGAGGACGGGTGGCGGCTGCGGGGCCACGGGCTGGAGGCCGAGGAGAAGCGGCCCAGCGAGTGGACGGAAGCCGGGCTGGCGGAGAGCAGGCTGCAGCGGCTCAGGGTGCGCACGCTGCGGCGGCTCAGGGCCACCACGTCCACGGTGGGCGGCAGCACGGCGTGCGGGATCAGCTTCGACAAGTACGTGGCCTGCGGCGAGATGGACATGGCCGGGCTCAGGGGCTCCGGAGGGCCGGCCCCTCCCGTCATTCCAGGCACCGCCAGGGACATGGGCCGGCTCAGCAGCGGGGGCCGCGGCCCCGTGGACCTGCCCACAAGGGTATCGTCGCGGTAGACACGGTCGATGTGGCGCTGCAGCCTGGCCTCTGCCTCAGCGTCGGCCTCCACCTCCAGGGCCTGCAGGGACACCCGGGCCCCGGACCCTGAGGCGGGGTCTTCGGGGCGGCCGTCCACCGTGGGGATTCGCACAGCGTCCCGGGGCCCAGGAGGCCGAGGGGTACCCGGGGCCTCGCGCTCGTTCCGCAGGCCTGCCATGAACAGGGAGGACGCGGGAGTCAGGGGGGGGCCGGGGCAACCCGCCCCCCACGGCCCGCCGGATTCCAGGCTCACCCAGCTCCTTCTGCACGTGCTGCGGCAGCCCCAGCACCGTGCTGCGCCGCTCCCGCCGCCGCCGGCCCGACTTTCCAGATTTGGGGAAGGAGTCATGGGGTCGGAAGGTGGAGCCTGGGGGGCGGTCCAGGGAGAGAAACCGTTAGAGCAGGACTCGGGCGCTCGGCGGAGGACAAGGGTGGGTCCTCTGTAAGAGCTGTCTAAGGGGGCCGTGGTCGAGTGGGCGTGGCCGATGCCCAGTTCTGCATTTCTGTAGGGCCTCTGGCGCTTTACTGGCCAATAACCTCCTAACAAAAAGTCATGAGGAGCCAGTACACTGGAGCCAGTCCACATTCATTCGCTAAGTACTCTGATCCTCATCCTTACAGAACATCAAACAGGCTCAGGGCTGGGCCAAGGTCACTCAGTGGGTAAGGAGCAAAGCCAAGCTCAAACCCAGCCTTTCAACGCCTCACTGTCCCGCTCTGCGGACAACACGCGCCACGAGTCGCCGAGAGGACACAGGAGATGCTTACAAACCCACAGAAACACAGAGCTGTGGAAACACTAGATTAGGAAGTTCAGGGGGAGCTGCAGCTGCCAGGACCCAGAGGCTGCCCGCCACCCCTTCTTTCTGCCCAGAACTCCCGGCTGTGAGCAGACACCTTTGCGCTGGATCATCTCTGAGCGGATGGAGAGCGCGTCCTCTGCCGTGGAGCTCTCGGTGTAGGATGTGCTCTGGCTGCAGAAGGAGATGCTGTCCTCATCTGGCCCGGTCTGGGAAGACTATGGGGGAAGAAAGGGTCAGGCCCAGGACCACCCCAGAGGCCTGGGTGGGGCCTCCCACTGCCTCTCAGCACTCCCCTCTGGGACTCCGAACTCACGGGCCCAGGCATTGGCCAGGCATTGTGGGAGTGACCCGGGACTAGCCCTCAGGGGCTGTCTAATCCAGCCCTTCGTGACCCAGGAAGGAAACAGGTCCAGGAGTGTTCGGGACGCCAAGGCAGGAAGAGCAGAGTGGCGGGGAGCTGGAGGCAGGGCTCACCTGGATGCTCTGGGTGTCTCCATGGTCCCAGCCACCCTTGCTCAGTTTCTGTTTCTCTGGAAGACACCACAAAGGTGAGTTGGACTAGACCCCTGACCTCAGGAGCTGAAAGTAGCACCAGAGGGCAGAAGGCTACCTTGGTACTGTAGGGAACGGAGCCCCTCCTGGGCCTGCGTGTGCAGCTCTTCCAGGTGAGGTGGTCGCCCACTGGGGAAGAAGACATTGTCCTGGTGCTCATCTGCTAGGGACCCGGGGCCCTGGCCGGACCCGACACTGAGGTGCTTGTCACTCTCGACCTTGGCAGAGCCTAGTGGGATGGAGGAGGGACAGAAGTAAGGCCCAGAGGGTTCTGGGCCCTGGAGACACACGGACATCCACAGCTCCACAGAGTTTACACACACATTCAGTGTCCACTTCCCCCAATCTACTCACAGCCCACAGTTGTGGGACATACATACTCAACACACAAATAAAATTATGCCCAAGATGGGGGTTCATCTAAGTACCCGCACCAAAGGCCCAGACAAGCCACTAAAACCCAGGGCACATGACAACCACAGGATGTATATACAACAAACAAATTTCAGTATGTACGCAGACAGCATGCAAGTATAAACAGTGTGTACAGGCCACACACAGGGGCCCACACAGCACATCTGGGCCCACACAGCCAGCACCCACAGTTCCCATCTGTAAATAAACAATCAGTACCGTGCACACAACATGTATCCACCTGTCCCTCAGGGCCCCATGTGAGACACACCGGTATACACAAAGCCCACAGCAAAAATATCTGTCTCCAGACCCAAACAAACCCCTTTCTACGTACACCCCTTGGGCCCTGCTCCAGAAAGAAGGCACCATGAGACTGATTCCCAGGAAGTCAGGGGAGGAGACAAGCCAGGAACAAGGCCTCTTGGGTCCCCGACTCACCCATGCCACTGTCCCTTCGTGGAAGGATGGCCAAGGGAGGGGAGAAGAGGGACCCCAGACAGAGCAACTCTAGCCTCTCTTGGGGGAACAGTCCCAGGTATCCCCCTTTCCTGGAGGCCCTGGCCCCTGGTGCAGCGGGAGCCAGGGATCCATTACAAAGGATCCTGTTACAGGCCCTGCCCATGGGGGAGCTGGTCATCTAATCCTGGTGATGGGGGGGCTGTGTCAGCACTTTGCAGTCCTAACCCCCCACCTTAAAATGGAACCCACAACATAAGCAAAAGCATGGAGTGGGTCATGTGATCTTGGCAGTAGCTTGTAGGGGGCAGAAACAAAACAAGCTATTTAAAGGGCCACACCCCAGGCCCAGGCCCAGGGGTCTCCCATTCAGACACCTGCCCTTTCCTCCATCTTCCATCCATTCTTTGCCTGCCAGCACCTACGCCTCCTTCCTACTCCCCTGGAATCCACAGGAACCCCACAAGGTCAAAGGCACTGTCCTCCAACCCCCTGATTTTGGAAATTGGGAAACAGCACAACAGTCAAAAGAACCTAAGATCATACACAAATCAAAGTCGGCAAGGATTAAACTCAAGGTTCCCAGAGGGGAGTCCTGGGTCACACTCTGACATCCAATAAACTCTGGTCCCAAAATCTCAGTCCAGATGGGATAGCCCAGTTCCTAGGAGAAGGGAGGGGGCAGAGCGCTAACCATGCTCCCCAACTTCCAGGGCTACTGCTTTCCTCCACTCTGCTCCCACACGTCCCGACCGACCTGGAAGGGATGCCCCACCTCTGGGCACGGCGGTTGAGGATGTTCCCAGTAGGGCGTGCGCACCCCAGGGGGGGAGCGGTGTCCTCCGAAGGCTGCGGACTCAAGGTCAGACACCTGGCGCACCTCCCAGCTCGCTCAGGCGAACAAAGGCGGCGGGAAAAGCGCTGGACAAAGGCTTGGCGGTGCACGCGGAGTGTGGCCTCATTGCTAGCCCTTACTCCCCACCCATTAAATATCCCAGCCTCGAGCCCCCCCATTCTACAGAAGGGGCTGGCAAGTAAGTGTGTGTCTCCTCCACACACACCCCCAGCCACACCCACTCACCCTTCTTTTTAAAGAGCCCCAGGAGGGCCGGGAGCTGGCGGCCCAGGAACACCACCATGGCTGCGGACTGGGCCGTCGCCTCTTCCGAGCTCTCCCGGCGCCCGGCGACGCCCTCCGGTCCCAGGCACCCGGCGACGGGCGC